TTACACTGTGCAGGGTCACATATACTGCTTTAAGGTATCATTCCTGCAAATGGTAATTTGAGAGTGTAGGCATACAGTATTAATGAAACAGAGTACCTCAGATGACTGCATAGGTTAGCAGATCTCGTTCTGTCCTTACAGCTGCTGGGGCAAACTCATTGCGTGTTTTCTTATCGAAGGGAATTGTTTCTTGCCATATCTCTACAAAGCCACAGTTACGATTTAAAAGGTACTGTAAATCACCATCAAGATTGGTTATAATGGATTATACAACATACTCTTCTAGATAGGGTCAACTGGTCCTGCTGAGTACTTAGCCTTGCCAAGACAGTAAGATTAGGCGGGCTGGCAGGTGGGAGTCTGGGGAGCAAAGGAGTTACTTTAGGCTGCAGGGGAAACACCAGACGTGGCAGGTCAAGGTCATTTATTGGTGTTCCCCACTCAAAGAGAAGATCCAAGATGGGCATGGGGATGAACAACGTCAAGTCATACTTGAAAGATAGTTAACTTTGAGGATCATAAGGGATGCACCAAATGATAGTCCATGAGGATACTAGAATACATCAGACAGAGGTTTGAAAGACCAAGAAATCATATTGGTTATTGCTGTACAGTTCAGTGAGATTGGTGTTGCTTTCGAATGGTTCCTCTTAGCTATGTACTTAGTAGGTTTTGACCAAGAAATAAAAGGATGCAATTTGAACACCAGAAATAGGAACCTACCCAATGTTTCCATGAGATTTGTCATCAGACATTCTTCCTTCATAAGAGAGCACCTGGGTTACATCCAGACAGCATCTGCTTCTTCCACATAGGAGCTTCCATGTTTGGTTCAGAGTTATTAAACACATAAGATGCCAAGGTACTTGCTGATGTGAGAGACAAGTCCCTATTAGTCTGCCCCTCTTTTTTTCCCCAAGTGCTGCAAGGAGTGAGAGGTCAGTTGCTCTGCTTCTTCCTCAAACCATCCAGCAGGCAGCTCTGCTGCCATCCATGGCTTCCCCAAGAATCTCCATTGCACTATTCATAGCTTCCATGCTGGTACCAAGTTTAGAAAAACACTGTTGAATTTCCTCCTGCTGATATTGTTTCTAACTCTGAGTAGCAGCAAAAATGCACTGAGGCTGCTTATCTGCATGTCTCACAAATGAAATTGCATTGAATTTATACAGAGATCGGACTGGATATTTGCAACTACTAGAAATTATTTACAGCGGATGTTACGGTTTGTAAGAAGGTTTAAGGAAGTGGTTTAGACAAGTGGTCTCCTGCTCTTCCAGTAGAACAAAGCTGCCATTACATGAGCAGTACTAACCAGATTATATACTTAATGAAATATCAAGGCATTTAATTCAGAAGTAATTCTTGAGGAAGCAAACCAGGGATACTGAATTTTAGAGGACATAGTCTATGCTACACTAAGTCTGCATTTCATGAATAGCAGTAACCAGCAATAACAAGTAGCCATTATTCTTTATGAGAAATGTAGTGGAAAATTCTGCATCCCTTTGCTGACTCTGCTGCCTCCTGTGTCAGCTCCATGTTGTGTATGTGTTGCATGTGCAGAGGCAGGTGTGAGCAAAAGCGGGGCAGGATGGAGATAATAGCCTCTGCTAATCCCCCACTGGCATAATGTCCATTAGGAGTCAGTGATGTAAATTAGAGTCGAAACCCTGCTGTCTCTCTTCCCTCGAGGTCACAGAACCAGCTCCACCTGTCCACCAGTCTTTATCCAAGCACAACTCGTTCATCATGGAGAAATGTAACCTTAATGTAAATCTGATCTTTTGCTGTACTATAGACTGGTATGATACATCAGTAAGATCTCAGGTCATTCCCCCACTCCCCTTTCAGATGCCAGTAGGAGTATTGGCAAACCTGAGATGCACGTACCTGGGCATGGCTTCAGAGTGCTCCTGCTTCACAGCATTACGGAAGAGGGATGTATGTTCCTCTATAATTTGAGGTTCTCATAATTATGCTCAAACTAGATATATGAAGTAGACCATTGCCCTGGTTTGGCTGGGATAGAGTTAATTTTCTTTCTAGTAGCTGGTATAGTGTTATCTCTTGGGTTCAGTATGAGAAGAATGTAGATAACACACTGATGTCTTCAGCTGTTGCTAAGTAGTGTTTATACTAAGTCAAGGATTTTTCAGCTTCTCATACCCAGCCAGCAAGAAGGCTGGAGGGGCACAAGAAGTTGGGAGGGGACACAGCCAGGACAGCTGACCCAAACTGGCCAAAGGGGTATTCCATACCGTGTGGCATCATGCCCAGTATATAAACTGGGGGGAGTTGGCCAGGAGGGGCGGATCGCTGCTCAGGAACTGACTGGGCATCTGTCAGCAAGTTGTGAGCAATTGCATGTGCATCACTTGTTTTGTATATTCTAATTCTTCTATTATCATCATCATCATTATTATTTTCTTCCTTTTCTATCCTATTAAACTGTCTTTATCTCAACCCACATGTTTTACTTTTTTTTGATTCTCTCCCCCATCCCACTGGGTGCGGGGGAGTGAGCAAGCGTCTGCGTGGTGCTTAGTAGCGGGCTGGGGTTAAACCGCGACAACCTTACAAATACTTCCTGCCTTCTTCCTTCTTTACTTTCTCCTAATGCACTCACCAGCCCCCAGAAAGTTCAAGTATTTTAAGCTCAGTTAATTTCAAGTATTTTCTCTCTGATTTGGGCTCTTCTTTCTGGAGAACCTCTGGCAAGTGTAGCCTTAGGAAGGCACTTTCATTTAAGCTTGTCTGTTACTGAGCTGACCCTCTGGCATGTTAGTCACAGGAAGATGACGGCCACCCCTCTCGCAGTGTCCTCCAACAGCTTTCTGCTGCCCTGAGTCTTGTTGCTGGTTGCCCTCCGTGTGACCGTGGTGTGCTGAGTCCCTGGGCTGTACCGAGCCATACTGGTGTGAGGGCTGCATAGACAGCAAGCTTGGAGTCCAGTCCGATGCATAGTGCTACAGATGGGTTCAGCAAGCCAGCGGGAAGGGATAATGTTACAGGCAGCCGCATCCAGGTCTCTCCCTCATTGCACTAGGAAGTTGCTCTCATCCAGTTGGCAGATGATGCAAAACTGGGAGGAGTGGCTGGTACACCAGCTGGGTGTGCTGCCACTCCGAGTGAGCTAGGCAGGCTGGAGAAATGGGATGAGATGAATCTCTAGAAGTTCATCAAAGGGAAATGCCAAATCCTGCACTGGGGGAAGAATAATAAATGCAGCAGTACAGGCTGGGTCCTGACCAGCTAGAAAGCACTTTGCATTGAAATACTTGGGGTTCCCGGTGGGCAGCGAGTTGAACACGAGCCAGCAGTGTGTCCTTGAGGCGAGGAAGATCAACGGCAACCTGGTCTGCATTAGGAAGACCATCTCCAGCAGGTTGAGGAAGGTGATCCGTCCCCTCTACTCGGCTCCGTTGTGAAACACATCTGCAGTCTTGGGTCCAGATTTGGGCTCCCCAATACAAGAAAGACATGGGCATACTGGAGTGAGTCCAGCAAAGGGCTACAAAGATGATGAAGGGACTGGATCATCTGTTGTAGGAGGAGAGACTGAGAGAGCTGGGACTGTTCAGCCTGGAGCAGAGAAGGCTCAAGGCAGGGGTCTTATCAATGATCAATCTTAAATACCTCATCCCCTGTCAGGTAGAAGGCAGAGCCAGACTCTTCTCAGTGGTGCTCAGTGACAGGACAAGAAGCAATGAACACAGAGATAGAGGGAATTCCTTCTGAAGACAATAAAATAATCTTTTCACTATGAGGGTGACCGAGCACTTGCAGAGGTTGCTCAGGGAGGTTGTGGAGCCTCCATCCTTGGAGATACTCAGAAGCCATCTGGACACGGTCCTGGGCAACTGGTTGTAGGTGGCCCTGCTTGAGCAGGGGGATTGGACCAGATGACCTCCAGAGGTCCCGGCCAACCTCAACTATTCTGTGATTCTGTGAAACACTTACTACACTTTAATAATCTTACAGTTACACAAATAGCTTTCCTCTCTCCCCTCAAAATGAATCTGACATCTCTGATTTACATTTTTACAGAGAGATTTTTCAGAAGGAAAAGTTACGTACCATAACTCCATTAATTATGAGTCATGGGAACACTTATTTTGAAAAGTTTGTATTTTACCCTGTTTAAAAGTTCTATTTAGTTTAGAATTACATTTTGATTGCCATCAAAATTGTTTTGGGGTTTTGCTCAAAATGAGAATATGTTTATGTTATCAAAACAAATGTCATTGTGGGAAAAGAACCAAGCATTGCCAGTGTTTTTCATAGCAGTAATATTTGATTTCACTTCTTGCATGTGTGGTAAACCACTTCAGAAGAGAAAATGTCATTCTAACACATGCATGTACACACACACACACATGCATATTTGAATGCCCACATATTTTGCCCTAAATTCAGGCTATACAAAATGTTCCTGCGGAACACGCCCAGGTCAGGTATGATCAATACAGCTTGGGCTATCTGTTGCTAGTACTTCTCTAACCACACCTGTGGAGCTGTTTTGAAACAAACGATCTCTCAGTAAATATTTCTTACTACCAGGTCCCTGAGTCACCCTGCAACCCAGGATCTCATCTTCACTGTACAAGTATATAATTTTTTTTGTGAAACAGAAAAGGGAAATACATTGTATGGCTCGCTGCTACTGTATTTTTTCACATCAAAGCCTTTGAGGTAAAAATATATTTATTTTTCTGAGGTAGTATTTCACTCAGGAGAGTGTAGGCATGTTCTGACTTCTCCCTCTTGACCAGTAGACACTGAAACAGTCTGAAAAGTAGAAGATACTATAAACTGTTTTTAAATAAGTCTGTAACATAGTATGAGCTTTCTATTCAGGAAATTCGGTGAGTTCAGAAGTATGGGGCTGGTAGACAAGATCTGCAGTGGATTTTAATATAATATTTTTATATCGAGCGTATATAATTTTATATATATTTATATCAAGTTTACATGCCACATCCTCTTTTTCTTTACAGGGTATATACCCAGTTACTTAGACAAGGATGAGCTATGTGTAGTATGTGGGGACAAAGCCACCGGATATCATTATCGCTGCATCACTTGCGAAGGTTGCAAGGTAAATGGCACAGTGGGAAAGTGGGAATCAGAAATAGCTCTCCAGCTCCTCCATTATACAGACTTCCTGAACTGTGCTGTCAAATAAAACAAAGACAGATTAGGAGCGAGTAAGAACATCCAGTACTGATGATAAGCCGTATCTGGCTATGCCACTGCTCTTCATATGCATAAGGAATTTAGTTGATTTTTGCAGTGTTTGCTTCTGAAAAGAAAAGGAGAAATTTAGATTTTTGTTGTTGCTGTTTAACTGTTAGCTTTTACATTTCCATTTTTTAATGTTTCTTTGGCCATGTTCAGAGCCAGTGTACATCAGCATGCTCCCAGCAACTCCAGTGAAGCTGATTACGCAATAGCTGAGATTCTGCCTATGGCCATGAAGAGTCTGTAGCGATTAGCAGTGTTCCAGTGCCTCTCATCATCACTGTGAAGAAGCAAAAATCAAAATCCTTCCACATGCTCATGCAACAGTAACATCCATCGCTTTGGGAAGCATTGACACTCAGTTAAAACAGTTTCAAAAAGATTTTTACTTCTTTAACTTAAGCATACTGAAATGTGCTTTCAGCCCTAAATTACATCTCCAAAGCTACATGCAAAATTAAAAAAGATTGTTTGGGGCAAGTAAATAAAAAAAAATTGAGTAACACAATCAGGCACATCTTAGATGATTTTACTGCCATAAATTTGCCTGAATAGCTTGAGATCCTGTAAGAAAGCTATTCTTTCCTGCAGAAAATAAAAAATTATTGTTTTTCTAAACAAATGGGACCACACATGTCATGGTCTAGTGTCATGGGACTAAGCCACAGAAGTCATATTCTGTTCACCCCCAAAGTCTGGAATATTTGGATCTGAGATTTTGGGTTTGGAGTGGCCTTAGAGCCCCACATCACAGTAGCTTGTGTTGAAGTAGTTTCTTCAGTTGTACAGCATTGCCCTAAGTTACGTTTATGAAATGCACAAAGACCTAAATATCCTACATATAGCAGATTTGTCATAATATTCATAATATAATATATTCACAATATTCACAATATAATATAATGAATAATACATACATAATATGTATGGAAAATATTTATATTTGAAAAAAAATATGAAACTGAACAAGTGATTCTTACAAATTTGCATCCCGTATACCAGATGATAACAATACATAAAATGTATGAATATGACTTAATTCAGATATAATGAGAAGTAAGCGACCCTGTGGCATTATGAAATATCTTTTGCTCCCAGCTGAACAGCTATATCTCTTGCCAAATTTCCTGCTAAGTTTTTTGTTACTCCAACTGAAGTATTTCTTTTTATGCCTACCAGCTATTTTAAAGATACAGCATACAAAATCTACTTTCATCTTCAGATACAGTTCTTCTGTCTGGTGTACAATTTAAAATAATGCTTATGTGCACGAGAAACTGAGCTAACAATTTGCAAAAAGTAATTAATTTCTTTCTCCTACTTACAGTTGGCTTACAGACTGTTTTGTTTTGCTTTGTTTTGATTTGTTGCTCTTCTTGCAAATGTATTCATTGTACAAGATGGGGTTTTTTGTGTGGGCAATTTCAACCCATGCTTTGGAGGATCTGCATACACATGTCAGTTGTATGATATATCAGCAAAGTTACATGTAATAAATTCTCAATGAATTTGACATTTACTAGTTGCTTCCACTCAAAATCACTTTAATTGTGTAACAACTTTAATCAGGGTTGACAGCCAAAAACTTGCTTTGGCAAGTGTGCTTTCATGAACAAAGCATCCTCACGCATGATTTCTGAAGAGTAAATTGTAAGGAATTTAAACACAAATAAACCAACAGTGAGTTCTGATGTCACTGAAATGTTTCTCCAGACTGTATCCATTGCATCTATTGCTATATAGGTGCATAGTAAAGGAATTTAGGAAAAGGGTGGTTGCCTTACAATAAAATGTGGTTTCTTTTATTGAGAAAAATAGTACTTTTGTGATGAAGTGTTTGGACAAATATAGAGAGCAGCTTCTTTATTACATTGTATCGAGAGATCATCAAAGAGTTTTTTTGCAAAAAGTTTCTGCGAAACGCAAAGAAATGGGAAGATGAAAGGTGCTGGTCCCAACAGAGGTGGTGAAGAGCCTTGGCATTGTAAAGCTAGAGCTACGTTAGTCCCATGCAAGGTTTGGAAAACAAGTCAGTACCACTTCCTGAGATTCATCAGAGATTTTTCCATCTCTTGCTGTAACTAGAGATTACACCATGTCCCTGGTTGTCCAGAGCCATCTTTGATCTTTAGGGAGGAGGGGGGCAGATCCTGTCTCTAGGAATTCGTCACAAGGTTGAGAGTGGATCCAAATCCAGTTGTTGGGTAGATGAGAGTTTGAGACCTGATCCAAATCCTACATAAGGACATCTTGCCTGTGATTTCCTGGATTTTGGTTCAACCTGACAGGTCCCAGTCTTGCAAAGTGCTTTATGCAACTCAGTTTAATTGAGATTTCAGGTCTTATCGTTATTAAGGAAGAAAGAGTTGTACTCTTAGCTCGAGCTGGATCTTGTAAGATAAAACTCTAATGAAGACAAGGCTCTTTATTGTCTTCACTGGAGTTAGAGCTCAAGCTGAAATACAGACTTGCCTGTATGTCTTAATTCAACATTCTGTGTTAAAAGAAATTACACACTGCTATAAGATTTTACCAGGTGTTATTTAACATGATTAAAAACAGACCTTTCACCTAGTGAAGTGAAGAGACTATTCATTAGATAAAATCCCAGCTGAAGAGGCTATTCATTAGGTAAAATCTCTCTCGAATTTTGCCATTGTTTTCACTGAAACCAAAGCCATTCTCAGCGGCCTCAGTCAAACAGGACCAGGGTCCCAGTGTATTCTCTATGTCAGGGTGGTCCCAAGCCACATTGCTGAATGTAGATGGTCTCAAACTTGAAATTGAAGTCAATGAGAAGAGTCATGTTGAAGTTAGTACCAGAATTAGGTCCGTAATGTTCAGATATAAGTTGTTCCTGATTTCTTTACCTAAGGCCAGGGGTGTATAAATCCGTAAATTTAGTGGAGCTACATTAGTTCACATGAGCTTAGGATCTGACCTCATATCCATGTTGCAACTGGCAATACAGATCTATATTATGATAGATAGATAGATAGATAGAAAGAATGGATTTGTATAGAGAGGGATCTTTATTGGTGATCTTTGTTTTGAGTACAGAGGACTGTGGTAAATATAAATCAAATCCTCTTCTCAGAAATACAAATAATTTTAAATTATGAGTCCATTATTTAGAACCAAATTCAAAGATTGTGTAAATTGTGTTTGCAAGACTCTTAGTCTTGCCCAGATTTGGTTGGTTGGTTGGTTATTTGGCTTTGATAGAAAGAAAGGAGTAGAACTGTTTGTTCTTGATCCTGTAGTAGCACATACACACCACCATTCTTACTATTTGCAGAAGCTGCTCTTTAATTAAAAGTGTGTATGTGCATCTTAATATCCCTCAAAATGATTATGTAATTTAGAAAGGGGCTCAAAATAAACTCTGTAGTTCAAATTAAAAAAAATTAACACACAGAAATGTAAGACTTGAAGAAGACATGTAGACAGTATTTGTCCCTCAAGACAACATTATTTATGCCTTTACTTACCTAAGATGTCTCTATGTTTTTAATTTTTAGGCAGGAAGTGTTTCGTGAAACTCAGAAAAGAAATGCCATACACTGTAAAACTGGTTTGTTCTTTTCCTCTTTGAGAGTTTCATGGAATGAAGTATGTTATCTTGCCTACTTAGGTAAATTCCTACCAAACCAAAGTGGCTCCCAAATTGAAAAAATTGCACAATGCTAATGCTTTCCAATGTATTTATTTATTGCACTTAGGGTTTTTTTAGAAGAACCATTCAGAAAAACCTCCATCCAACCTATTCCTGTAAATATGAAGGAAAATGTGTGATAGACAAAGTAACAAGAAATCAGTGCCAGGAATGTCGCTTCAAAAAATGTATCTTTGTTGGCATGGCAACAGATTGTAAGTACATTTTTCTGGTTTTCTTTCTTTTCTCTCTTTTTTTTTTTTAATGTGTGTATTTGCTTGAAGTATGTTGATTGGTGAAGATGGTTAAAGCAGAGCAGAACTGTCAGCACTTTTTTGGTTTTAATAACTTGTACTGGGGAATTATGCTCATTGCATCAAACCACTTTCATAGGCCTGTAATTTTTTGTTTATCCTTCATCAGACTGCACCTTCTCCTGCCCTTCTCAGGCTGAGTAACAGTAGGAATGTTCACTCTTTGGAGGAGAGGAGGGAGAAGTGCATCTGGATGGACACTTTGCTTGAGAAAAAAACATCTTGTTTAGAAAATTCTGGAGGATGTGAAATTGAATGTCGTTGTATGAGTCATCCTGCAGTTGTTTGTTTTATTTTTAGCCCTGAAGAAGTTATGCACTACAAAGAATTCGACTCTCATTCTAAAGAACTAGAAAATATGGCTACACGATTAACCCTTGGGGATCTTCTTTCTCTGCCATTGCACAGGGATTTACACCGATAACTTCAATTAGTGCAAATGGGAGGAAGTCATGTAAATCCCCCTGTACATTAATGTTAATGGTTGTTGCCGGCGTAATCCTCTGCAGAGGAGCTGGCAGGAAAGCAGGCCCAATAAACAACAGAAGAATATTCTAACTTAGTATTTTCCATTGTTATTGTAACGTATAACCGTGCCTTATGTCTAGAGAGAAATAGAAGAAATGACACAACTTCATTTTAGCTGGGTAGACTTTCGGGAGAGGGGGCTGGATCATCCTGGGTCACCGCTTCGCGCCCAGCCCCGTCTGACGCCGCAGGCAGCGGTGAGCCTCAGCCAGGCAGCGGCCGTGCAGAGCGAGACGTCTCTCCGAGCCTGGTTCTGACCAGAAGGTGCCATTGCCATAAAGCTGCCGCAGCCTCGGTGGGCTGCACCTACGTACGCCCCAAAGGAGCTGTCACTGAGCAGGGCAGACCGGCTAGCGATCGCCCAGCTCCAGAAGGGTTTCTTCCACCTTTGAGTTAAAATGCGTGAACAGAAGCATGTAAGCGGGGCTTTCCTTGCTCCTACCTGCCTGCCGCCAGTTGTGGATCAGAGTGGTCCTCCTCTGCTAAAGCGGGCCAGTCGGTTTAAATGGCCTATTCATGTTTGCACGGAAAATGGGATAAAACCTTCAGTGGTGGTCAGAGATGCGCAGCCCTGGGGCCTGTGTGTCTGGCATCACTGGAAGTAGCAGGGCTCTAGGGCAATGCTACAGAACAGCACCATTTGTAGGGCTTAAGGAAAGAGCCGAAGGCAGATTGTTTCTGATCACGTCATGCAACAGGTAATTGAGCCTCCTGTGAATAAATACTCCCACTTTCTTAAATCCATGTTGCCTTCTGCTGGCTGACAAGAGCACATTCTACACAATTCAGAGCAGTGAGCATGCTGCTGCTACTTTAAAGAAAACAGAAGTGCATCTTTCCCAACATGGATTGCTCCAAGTCCATTATAGGAGCACTTTGAGTCCTCACAAAGCTTTTACATACTAGTTCTATTGGTGGACTAAGCCACTGAAGGCAATGGCAGTATATAAAATGTTACCCGAAGGGTAAGTCGTTCTTTGCAATCCAGGCTTCTGAGGAAATGAAGTTCAGAGGGAGAAATAAGAGAACTGTGTCAACTGTGGGTCTTACCAAAGTACTTCTTTGCTGATTAGTTAAGGTGTTTGTGATCAATTAGTACCTCAGGCATAAAAAAGACCAAAGTTCAGACATCCTTAAGAGCTTCCTGCCATTTTTCAATGCTTTTTCCCCTGCTAGTGGTGTTGGATGACAGCAAGCGGCTGGCAAAGAGGAAGCTGATAGAAGAAAATCGAGAGAAGAGACGTCGGGAAGAGCTGCAGAAAACCATTGGACACAAACCAGAGCCAACGGATGAGGAATGGGAGCTCATCAAAATTGTTACTGAAGCACATGTGGCCACCAATGCGCAAGGAAGCCACTGGAAGCAGAAAAGGAAATTTCTGGTAAGGACTGTAGCCTTTTACACTGCTCTTGGTGCCAGGTGCCTTTCTTTCTTCTGAAGTCCCTTCCCAACACTGCAACCCTGAAGAGGGTATATCTGCCAGTGTATTGACATTTATGAAAACCGGGTGATTTCTGTATTTACTACTTGCTTATTCTTGCCTGAAGCTCAGTGTTTGATCAGACCATGTATTTCAAATGATAAACAGCATGTTGCTAAGTTAAGGCTTACCCAGCTGGATACTTTTAATGTGCTATGATAAGAAAAAGTAGAAAAATTGTTTCGCTCCTGATTAACAACAGTAGTGGTCTATAATGTATACCTTACCTTTTTTATATATATTATATCCAGGGATAGTTGTCTGTCTTAGGGTCTAGCATACGACATATTGTAAGTGTTAAAACAATGTAAAGTTTTAGGTGAAAGCTGATATTTTTTATTAATAGCTCGTGTTTTTTGCTTCCTTGTTCCAAAGTGAACATATTAATTAAAATAAATTTGGCAAAGAAAAATGAATTTCAATGAAAGCCGGATGATACATACACTATAGCATTGGGATTGCAGACTACAAGACAACTTACATTTTCAGCCTATAACTAAGGATCAGAAAATAAATTATTTGTGATGCTCAGCCTAAGAGGAGGATTTATTTGATTTTTCTAAATCGATTTTTAAAGGAAATAAGTGCAGAATGCAAAATACTTACACAGCACAAAAGAGGGATTATAGACTGTGTTTCAGGAATACACAGGGGTCTTTAACAGTCTGTGTGTACCCAATCAGATAGAGAATACTCATTTTTTGCAAGCCTAGGCTCCTGCTGCCTAATTCACCATGGGAATCTCAACCCACTGTTAAATTGCTAAGAGAAATCATATATTCAAACCAGCAGATCCCTTTTATAATGTTTTGCTAATTCCAGCGGCACTGTCTAAATTTCTTTATGAATGGCTGCATGTTTGTAACAGCTTGCAGTCGGGAAACCACAGCCAGTGATCACTGGCAAGAAGCAACGGAGCACTTTGCAGTGCTGCTGGACAGCAAGGTTTGCGATGCTGGTTTTAGCAGACCAAGAAGCAGCTGCAATAGTGCATTTGGTTGCTTAGACAGGAGTGCTGTTCTTTGCGTATCGCCTGGTTCGGGATAAAGCATGGGGAGCTTGAGGCTGAGGCTGGAATGAGTACGCTGGGCCACGTAAAATATGGTCGTTGAGAGACTTCAGGCTCTGGAGACAGTCACAGCGGAGGGGGACCCTCCAGCAAAGGGTGCCCAGAGGCAGAGCATGAGGTGGTGTAACGACAGGGCTACTGGGAGAGGGGACGAGTGGGGCAGAGGCAGGGGTGGCAACTGTAATGAGCAGTTCAGAAACCAGCTGTGACTTCCACAGCTGGTTCCTAGGTCAGATGAAACTGCTCTCGATGCAGCCCTTGCTGCAGGGCCTCCTGGTTCTTTGAGGTGCTCATATGCTGAAGCCCAGTGGTTTCAAGGCAAGCGTGCCTTGAGCTGTGGGTCGGTCCTTAGGCAGCTGAGGCTGGTTCTTCAACAGCAGGAGCTCCTTTGAGGTCTGGACCTCTTTTCCTGTTGAGGTGAGTTAGGTGGCAAGGGCTCTCCAGTTGCATCCCCTTCTGGAGTGTGTTAGCTTTTGCCTTCCCCAAGAAAATGCTGTGTTCTTTCTTTTTCTCCCCAACAACGTTATGTGTGGTTTTAAGCATTTGGTCGTCTTGCTTGGAAGTGATGAAGGTTGTTTATCATGAGCACACAGACAATGTGGTTTAGTTTCCCAAGATTCAGGGAGGCAGAGAGCCTAGAACTGGGATTATTTGAGTTTTTTAGTAGGAACCGTCGGATAATTGGGCCCAGTCCTCTTCATTGTTCCTTTACAATTGGTGCTTGCTTTATTAACACATTGCTGAGTTTTTTCTTGAAAGAAATTAGATTTGGATTCAGATTGGTGACAGAGCTGTGGAAGGATCTTCACCTTTATGATGTGTTGCTTTAAAAAACTGCCTAGCACAAGTTTTTATTACAGACAGCACTTTCAGCACCTCCCCTGTTCAAGCGCCCTTATATGATTGTCATGAAGTCCATCAGTCTTAAAGGCCTTCTTCTCTGGGTTTTATCCATTTTTTGACTCTCTAATGTGAACAATATGGAACCTCTGCATGGTGGTTAGCAGGTCTTTTACAACCACAAAGCCACACTTAGCAAACAGAACAGCTTTGATGTGCCTGCTTTTAAAATACATGGCAACATTGACAAGCTGTCATAAAATCAGGTTGAAGTACAGCTGGAACAAAAAAAAACTCATCGCAGATTCTGCTTGAAACTGTTTCATTGTATATCCCTATTGAAATTCTCAAAATATGATTTTTTTTTTCTCTTTTGGAGAAGCCTTGGGCTGAAGTCACGCAGAATGTGATTTTCAACCAAAATTTTACCCAGATGAGTTCAAATTCTAGTCACTTTATCCAGACTAGCTTTGTGTTAGCCCATTCTTAGTCATCAGTTGTTTTAGCCTGGTTTTGGAAACAGGCCTTGGCAGTTGCCTGGAGCTCTGTGATACCAGGCAATCTGTTCTGGGGAGGATTTCAGAACTTCGAGTAGGTGAGAGAGCCTAATTCTGCAAAGCTCTCAGCATCTTCTTGGGGGTAACAAGTCAGCTCAGATCCCTTTGCTTTTAGAGAAACTTGGGAATTCTCAGCACTTGTAAGAAACAAGAACATGCTTGTATTTTTAAGCAAAAAATGCATACACTACACCCACAAGATGCTCAGATAGAGGCACAAGGAGGAAACTGCATGTGCACAGAAATGTAGCTGCCCACACAGGATGGGTATCAGCATGCCAGTCGCCCATTTCTCTATGCACTCACCTCTTTCACAAATGTCTTACAAACAAATTCACGTTTTGTGGCATAATGGGCATTACTTATAAAGTGAATAGTGTTATTTTTTATTTTACCATATCTTCTGTCACCAAGCAGGACTTTTTAAGTATAAAATACTTGCTCTAAGATAGATTGTTCCTTTAAATATCTTTGTTTATATCCTTAGCCAGAAGATATTGGGCAGGCACCAATAGTTAATGCCCCAGAAGGTGGGAAAGTCGATTTAGAAGCCTTCAGCCAGTTTACAAAAATTATCACACCAGCGATTACAAGAGTGGTGGATTTTGCCAAAAAGTTGCCTATGTTTTGTGAGGTAAGAAGACTTCCTTGCGCTCTTCATTTATATGCCTGTTGTTAAAAACTATTCAAAATACTCCTGGCATGGAACTGAAAAATTCACAGTGTTTAAAATCAGAAAAATTAAAGAGACTCAAAATAGATAGAACTAGAATCATCTGGATTCTTATGAGTTTTCTTTTTCTTGTGATTACTGAAATCCTGATTTTGTTCATCTAGAAGTCATCATGGTTCATTAGGGACTCGAATGTGTCTTTAGAGGTGGTCCTGAACAAAGCAAATGAACAAAAAGAGACTGTCTAGAAGCATCTTTGATACGTTTAATCAGATCTTCCAGCACACAGTTCCCTCTGTGCTTTCTGGCTCCTTGCAGGTACAGTATTGTGGAGTTGGGTCTATGCAGTAACAAGTTCTTCAAATTCAGGAAAGCATCCCTATCCAGGAATGGCACTTGCCTTATTGTGTTCCCTAGGCATGCTTTTCCTGAACGGGGAGGTTGTGCATAAAAGAGTCTGTAAAAATAATGGATTGTCATTCCAGGTAGATACTGACATGTAAAATATACAGTAAATGGGCTCAAATAGACTTGGTTGCACATTGGGAATAGAGAAGCCCTAGGCTGATTTCATTTACACTGAGGTATCATTTTTATTGAAGGACCAGATGCAATGGATGATGATTTTTTTTCCTAACTTAAAAAATGTTATCAGAACTGCAGCCTGAAATAATATTTCAGTCTTAATAATCTTAATACTTTTAATAATTTTAAGTCTTGTGAGTCCCTTAGGATCCACAACCACAGGAGTTTTAACTTGGAAATATCCCCCCAATCCAGCCATGGAAGGATGCCTGCCTGCTCACCCACACTGCAGAGGAACATTTGACTCTGCTGGTGAAATGCCAAGTGAATGACAATCAAAATCGGAGGGACCACGGTCAATGAGTTCATTGGGCTTCCTAACTCGACAACAGTGTTTGCTCCTAATAACATCAGTCCGGAAGGAAGTTTAAGGCAGCCATAGCATTTTACTCCTCTGTGGCTGGCAGCTTTTCTTGAAGGTCAGTCAAGGAGAGCTATTTATGTCCTTTGGCACCTACAGAACAAGAAGAAGTAAATATCAATAGTTGGCATAGTGTAAATAGCTCTCCCTGCCTAACCTCAGCATTGGCTTCATCAGCCAAGAAAGCATGAAATAGTGGCCAAGCATGAAGATTTTAAAATACAAGGAATGTGTCCATAGATCAAGAGGCGCCTGCAGCATTCAGTGTCTGAGGGAATCTGTCTCCTCTGATTTGGCATTTGTTGGTGGGAAGTTGCAGTGACATAGCAAGGTAGTCTTTTTAATTTAGAAAGCTTTGCCAGTCACACACAGACTGCAGTGCCCATCTGACATCTCCTACTCCTCCTGGCTACTGTGGGCCCACTTGTGTCAGAGCTGGGCAGGAAGCATGGATGAAGAAGTCAAGGCGTCATTGGGCATGACCTCTGTAGGTTATGCAGCTCAACTAGGACAGGCTTTGTTTACAGCTGAGCCACTGTGTGAACCTGACACCCATATACAGCAAGGTCTGATGGCAGAGTGAGGGACAACTCCTCTTGAACACAAAGGAATAGGACAGCCATCCTCCGAGTTGTCATATAGTTCCTGCTGTAGGATGAAGAAATGACAGATGTTTGCTCCTTTTTGAAGGGGCTCTGTCCTGTTAACTTGATTTCGGTTATGGTTTTTAACCCATAGCTTTTTCTTAGAAGCAACACTGAGTGGGCTCTTGATTTGTTTATGAGAAAAAGCCCTGCTTGCTCCCATAGGACCTGCAGAGCATTTAAACATTATCTCAGTTCTTAATTTCCACAGAGGCACAGGCTGAGAGTGTAGTAAATCTCTATGAAGGAGGGGCACAGCAAGGAACATCCATAGCCACTTATATATTCACAGTTACTTTTCCTTCTTTCTCTCTTTTTTGGACACATGTGCAAGCCAGCAAAGCACTATGAGTGCCCAGCTTAGTTTGTGTGCATCCATTGGCCCATGCCTCAAAGCAAAAGTCTAATCCCAGAGTAATCGAAGTACTTAAGGAAAACTTCATTTACTTTTCAGCATTTCTGCTGTTGTTTCCTTCTTGCATTTTCTTCTGCTTAGAAGATGAAGATTGAGGAGCATTTAATCAGTTTGATGTGAGTTTAAGTGTCACAGGCATCAGTGGTTCCACGCTGGGTGAAGCTGTGTAAATACCCTTCTAGGTAGCTCAGCTCAGCTCAGTTCCATGGTGTTGCATTACACGTGTGCTGGCTGCCAGTATGTCCTGCCAAGGTGAGCACCTCAGGTTCCTGCCTTTTGCTTTTTCTCCCTGCAGAGAGAGAGAAGGAAAGGACAACATGTGGCAGATAATCAGTCACATTTATTGACCCCACTCCTAGAAGGTGCTCTGGTAGCAATGATCAAGTGATGAGCGTAGGTAGCATTGAAGCCTGTATACTTGGGAGCAAAACTGAAGTTCAAGCTCCCTGTCTTCGGTAACTGCTGCTGCTGGCAGATAAGACCTGAGGCTTGTCATCCATGAAACAGATGTCCCATGTATCCTTCAGAATTAGGAAAGCAGGTGAAGGACAGGCATAATGAGATCACCACTACCATAAAGAAGTTTCAAGAAGGTTCAAGTAGGAAGAGAAATTCTCCTTTGTTTAATGGCTCACTAATAAAACGGCTGAAGCGTCATGAAATATCTTCCCTAATGTTATCTATTTCTTTTCTACCATTCTTCCTCCTCCTTAGTCTTTTTTTCTTCATTTCATTTTTTCTTCTGCCTTCTCCCTTCCTTTCTTTCATGTCCCTTTTTTTGCTGCAGTTATCTATTCCAATATCTCTTTATGGTTGCTCTCACACTTTTCTTTTCTTTTCTTTTCTTTTCTTTTCTTTTCTTTTCTTTTCTTTTCTTTTCTTTTCTTTTCTTTTCTTCTCTTCTCTTCTCTTCTCTTCTCTTCTCTTCTCTTTTCTTCTCTTTTCTTCTCTTTTCTTCTGTTTTTCTTTTCTTCTCTTGTCTTCTCTTGTCTTCTCTTTTCTTTTCTTCTGTCTTCTCTTTTCTTTTCTTTTCTTTTCTTTTCTTTTCTTTTCTTTTCTTTTTTCTTTTCTTCTTTTTTCTTCCTCTGTTTCTTTGCCTACTTCAGCCTCAGCAGCCAAATAGTGGCGTTATCATTGGGTAGTGAGACTGCCACTGTGCCTTCCCCACACTGCTGCTGAGCTGAGTGTGATCTGCAGAAAGTGATTTGCCCTGAAGAGGATGAGTCATTTTTCTTGTGTATCAAACACTTCACACCTGAAGTTGGCATTGCTGGAAAAATAGCTGCATGATTCAACTCCTTTTTCTGATTGTGGCTAGCTTTGTGTTTAAAACTCTTCTCTAACAGGGAACTGCTTTCCACTTGTGTTAGGTAACTGTCTGGCATCCACTCTACATCATTTTACGCCAAATCAATGTATTTGCTTTGTGAGTGCACAGTTGCCACGTAAACCTATAGTTGCTGGGGTTTTTTTCATTTTGAATTGCAAATCAGGTAAATATAATAATTTTATATGAATCAGAAATGATGGATTTTTGCCTCCTTTCAAGGAGGTAAAAAATAAGCATGGCTGGCAGTGAGTTTAACCAGGATGGCTGAGGTCTGTACCAGCCCCAATTATAGTTTATTCTGTTATGCTAAATTGTAAGCTGAGGGAGCTCAGCAGTAGAAGAGAGAAGGGTGAACAGCGGAGAATGGTGACCACTTCAGCCATCTCAGTTAGATCCACCCCTGATTGGAGACAAAACCAATAGTATATGTTACCACCAACTTGGCATCTAACAGGTCTGCTTCACCCTTCACACTTTGTGAAATGTTCTGCAAAATGGAAAGCTACATTCTTAAGATTTATTGGACTGAATTCTATAATGCTCCCACAAACTGAGTGGTCCCACAGAGAGCGGCGCTTCTGTGAGTTGGATCACTTCACCTCAGCATCTGAATCAGCTTGGTTTGTGTTGACTGTCTTGCCCAGGATGACTTGCCTGCAGCTGTGTCATCACTAGATTTCCTAAGGGTATGTGGGGATGGTAACCTGCTGGCAGCTTCTGAAAGCAGGAATGAGAGTCTTGGAGGTTTGTGTGGTGCAGTCAGTCAGCAGCATTTTTGGAGGGTAGCTGCACTATGCGAGGTAGGGTCCTGGAGTGTGAACTGCAACTTCATGCTCATGGATTTACTGTAGTTGTAAAACAAACTCAGTTTGAAAAACATATCTTTTTCTTTACTGTTTATAATTTCTGCAGCTGCCATGTGAAGACCAGATCATCCTTCTGAAAGGCTGCTGTATGGAGATAATGTCCCTCCGAGCAGCAGTTCGCTATGACCCCGAGAGTGAGACTTTAACACTAAATGGGGAGATGGCGGTGACAAGGGGCCAGCTGAAAAATGGGGGTCTTGGTGTAGTGTCTGATGCCATTTTTGACCTGGGCATGTCTCTTTCTTCATTTAACCTGGATGACACCGAGGTTGCCCTTCTTCAGGCTGTTCTGCTCATGTCATCAGGTGAGAACAGAAATATATTGGAACCCCAACCATTTTTAAACTCTTTAGTCTTTGTCACAAGCCTCTGTTTAAAAGAAATAGGGTATGTTAGATCTTGTAGTGCTGACTAGAGTAATGTGGGAGAAATTTTCTCTCAAAATCCCAATGCAGCTTAGAATTAGTTTGGTGAGCACTAGGAAAAATATTCAGGGTTTTCAGAGAGATGGACGTAAAAGCGGCTTTAGTAACACACCTTCCTCAGTTGAGTACTTAGGGAGGTGGCAGGGGTGATCATCAGAAAGATATCAGATTGATTCTGAGCCAATTTGCCTTGAATGAAAAACTAATATTTTAGCAACAGTTGTTGTTACAAAAAGTTCCCTCTTCCCCTAGGTACTACCATGCATTGGGCAGGAAGTACAGTTCATACACATTTCCATCAGTCTCATATGTTTAGTTTGACCTGCCATCTTGTTTTTCTACTTAACAGCACCACCGCTTGCTAATGGGCATTTGAGAGCTGTGCTGTTTCCCCACACTGGGACCATTTGCAACTGGTCTCTTGGTGGCGTGATAACAGAAGCAGCACAGACCATTTCATATGATTTCCAAAGAGTTTCTAACCTCCTCAAATTGAGTATGTTTTCAAATATGCTTCCACTGTCTGTGCCAGCCCAAAGAGGAAATTCCATTCTTGGGCAGTGGCAGATTTGGCAAGATTTTGTTTTAAGACCACTTTGAAGATTGGGCACTGAATAACAATACACACAGAGTGATTTACAAGCGTTAACTGCATCTGAGACGGAAAGGTTTCCACATTAATCACAACACAGCACTTGACATTCCCAATCAAAACATTTTGATTTCTTTTTAGTTCCCTACACAGTGATACATGAATAGGGGTTTCAGAAGGCAGTTCAGAGGACCTGCTTTCCCAGAAGTGTCTCCTGAAGAGTGACTTGTGAAAGGAGCTTTCCCAGCGCCCATCTGCATGCTGGTTGAGACAATTAGCCAAACTTCTGGCCTTTGTTGTTCCTTGGTGCTCCATAGCAGTTTCCTTTGCAGCTCACCTGTGGATTAAAGCTTGATCAAAGCATTTTGATGATTGATCATTGGTCAGACTGTAGAGAAACAGATAGGAAAGAAATGTATTTTAAATATCTGACGAGGACATTTTTTTGGTTCTTCATTGGTTGTTTTACAGAAAGGTATAGGTAGAAGCCTTAGCTGAGATCAGGAATCTGTTGCTGTAGGCACTGTAAGGAAACACTTCCCAAACAGCTATACTGTAAATGGGCAAAGCAGGCAAAGGATGAAGAAAGGAAGGATTATCTCCTTGTTTTAACAGAGGTAGTATTGATAGTGAGGTGTCCAGAGTCAAAGAAGTTGTTTGTGACAGAAACCAATGTCCTTAGTTTCTCTCCTTTCTGTCCTAACAACGGAATCGTCCTATTTTTCCTGAGTTATGATCAGGAATTTGTTAAAGTAAATAAGTAATAGTGATATTTCTCCTTCTTTGTATCTACAGATCGCCCAGGCCTTGTTTGCGTCGAGAGGATAGAAAAGTGTCAAGAGGGTTTCCTCCTGGCATTCGAACACTACATTAATTACAGAAAACACCATGTTGCACACTTTTGGCCAAAACTGCTGATGAAAGTGACAGACCTGCGAATGATCGGAGCCTGCCATGCCAGCCGCTTCCTGCACATGAAGGTGGAGTGCCCCACAGAACTCTTCCCTCCATTGTTCCTGGAAGTGTTTGAGGATTAGAGAGACTGGAGCGGTTCTCCGCACCCCCGTCGCACTACTGGCTGTCATTTCATCCCGTTGCCCAACTCTTCTCACCTCTGTTTGTTCCTCTTCTTCTTTCGTGCTCTTCTGTTTCTTGAGGCGGGGTTGGGTTTTTGTTTGGGTTTTCTTTTGGGGTTGCTGGGGGGCAGTTGTATACACATGGATGAAAACATCCCCTTAATGCGGGTACTTGTGACTATTGCAGTTTGTTCTTCGGTCCTTTGATGTGAATGCTTTGGCAGCTTAACAGTGAAAATACAAACAGACCAATCTCATTCACCAGCACTTGCGTGGTCACCAGCTCACACACATCATTGCTTGGAAAATATGGGAGAGAAATTGAAGTGGCAGAAAATAAATTGGCCTCCAAGTTAAAACAGCTATTGTTAATTTGACCCTGGCAATTCTGTCTAGTATTACCTCATTTTGCAGGGCACAAGTGACCAATTTGTGAGATTAAATTTCTAGTCTTTATGGTTGTTTGTATTGTGACAGTCACCATTATGATCTAGGATCTTCATCATCATCATGATCCCATCATTATCTGAGGATTGTTCCAACAGATACAGTTTAACTGTGCCCCATAAATCAAGTACTTAAAATAATGCAGAGTGTTAGAAGGGACTGACTTTTTTTTTTTCCATGTGTATAAGAAAGTAAGATCCTTCAGTTCTTACTACATTTGAACTCCAAGTAACTTCACTGGAAGGTCTGTTGGAGTAAGGAGGTGAATTTGGTCCTCTGAGGTGCTTTTCCAGAGAGTGGAGAAGTCTGCTTTTTCTGAGGTGTGTGGAAAACTTGTCACTCTGAGGGAGAAGATTCTCTGTCAGGATACCAGGCTTTCCTCAGAGTTATTCAGGGAGATGAATGCTCACAGAATGAGGACAAGGAGAACGAAACGTACAGGGTGACCTTCAGATGGGACAGAAACCAACTGTGTTATTAATGACACTCAAGACTGTACAGCTTTATCCCAGTAATACAGTGTTGCTTGGCAGTAATCTTTTGTTTTTTATATATATATATAAAGATTATGTGCACGTATATATATAATTTTATATATATATAATTACAAATGTTCAGCAGATGTCTTAAACATATTTCCATATTTTTATCTTCTCTCTCTCCTTCTCTCACCCGCTCCTGTGTGAGTATGCGTTTATGTGTGTCAATCAGCTAGGTTCTCCCTCCTTGGTGTCTTACGTGTTTCATTTGGCTAGATTCTCTCTTGATTCCTTTAATTTATTTCCACTAACTGCACTAGCAGGAACCAAACTGAGCAATGACAGGATGTCCTGCTGCCGAAATCTGCAAGCCAGTACTCACAGTCCTGGAATGTTTGGAGGCCGGTGATGAGGGCATTATAGGTAGAGGTTCCTCTCTGTCATCCATCCCCATTCAGGGGTGTTGTCCCTGGGTTTTATAAACTTGATATTAAACCATTCTCTGAATTTGTATGATCCATCAAAAGCATCCTTCTGTTCTTCCCGGGAAGAACCAGAGACTTAGTTCACGTATTTTGCACTTCCTCATACCCCATATTCTTTCATGTTATGCATTCATTTGTACCAGTTTCTTTCTCTGCTATTTATTGATATATTTGCCTGGCAAATCAGTGGGCATTGTTAGAGTGGATATGTTGACTTTCAAAGCTCATGGCCCATATCTAAACCTATATGTTATGTGTTTATCCCCTCATGAAAACATGATACTCAGGAAAACTTATCTCATAGGTGGAACACAATATATGTGTGTCAGGAGTTAAATTTTTTCCACACCTTTTTCCCTACATCATTGATATAGCATTTGGAGTGTTACTGGCTATGTTTTCAGGGGTGTGGAATCTTGTCCTCCATGTTTTTTGATACCATATGCACCTGTGATGAGTTGTGAGCACTGATGTTATCACTTAGGGGTTTGTACCCATCATTTTGTGAGAACATAAACCACAATGGGGTGTTCAGGGTTTTTTTGCAGGTAGCAAGGAAGACAGACCATTGGAAATTTGTTCTTAAATGTTTTCTGAAGTTGAAGAGCCTCTGTTGTGGGCTGTGTTTGCTCCATCTTGAAGCATATGTGTTAACAACATCAGTCTCTATCCAAATTCCTTGTAGAGCACTATGTCTTGGGGACAAGGAGTTAGAAACTTTCTAGCTTTTTGGAACAAGAGGCCAGACAATGTGATGAACTCACATGTACTCATGCAGAGTCTCAGATGAGGAGCATCCATAGCCAGTGCTAGATACCTGATTTAGGGGTGGCTTGATAGGGAACTGATAGCATATAGGGAAAGCAGAAAAACAGCTGATCCATTACTTGCATCTATACCCACAGTGGCTCACAAAGAAAAGAGAAATGTGCGTGTCTTTTGGAGTTCTATCCTGCCCGGGATCTGAGCATGGAGTGCCTCCTGAAGCCAGCGCAAGTGTCTCACCTGTTCACTAAATGCGAGCTTAGTTAGTGTACAAGCTTTTCACTGTGCTGTGGATGAGACCCAGGAGAACGTTTCTCCCAGTAGTATTCACAATGATCTCACTACAAGGTCCATGATGCTTCATGTATTTTTCAGAGCTTCAGTTCCTGGAGTTGTGCTGCTGCGTAAGAGGTTCAGTCTGTCATTATCATCAAGAATTCTTATCCTTTGGGCTATAAAGAAAATCAGTAGCCTAAATGTTAATTATTTAGGTGGGAAGTCACTACTCAACAGTGACTTAGCACATAACTATTGGGGCCCTCATAACTGGCTTTTGAACACTTGGGATTGTCAAGACTGCATTAATCAAAAAATAAATAAAGATCAGAGGTTAGAAAAAAATGTGAGAGTTACTGGATTGACTTGGGGAAGCAGCAAGATATGAAAGAACTTGAAATACCCTGGACAGAACTGCAGTTTGAGACAGTGTTGAGAATTAACACTTGGCACACTGGCTGCTGTAAAAATCATTGCTCATACGGGAACTTGTCCCCCAAGGTCTACCATGGCAAGTTACAGAGTTTTAAAACAGCCTTCATAAATGGATGTCTGAATTCAGGCACATAAGCTGCATTTAGACATCCGAGCTAATGGCCTGACTTCCCAAGATGCTGATGCAATTTGGAGTTGTGCTTAATCAGGGTTCAGAAAATCAGGCCTCCTTCCCTAGGTGATTGCAGATGGACTGAAGTGCCTAAAATCAGGCAACCAACTTTGACAGGTTTGGCAGTTCTTTACGCAGAAAGGACATAATGTCAACATGCTTTTCTAAGCTTTATAGATTAAGTTGAAGTCTGGCATTAATTAACAGAGGGGGATTAGTAGTATTCCTCAATTGAAAACTAAGACCAAGCTCTTAGTTTGACAGATTTGATGTACTGACGTCTAATGGCCTCTGATCTCCTACCAGTCTTATTTTGTGTGACTTCATTGACTCCCTCAGTATGACTCCTGATTTATATCATGACAGCAAAACTAGATCACATGAGGATACTCTTGCAGACTCTTACCAGTGGATACTGACCTTAGTTCTGCAAAGACATACTTGTTTTTAAATATCAGTGGTCTCAAGCCATTGTAGGCTTGAGCCACTGGATTGACCATCTGAGTGGCAGACATCAGTACTACAAGTTACCCTTGTAGTAACTGGCCTTCTGAGTGAAATAACAAACGTGCACTTTCCAGTACAGTCCAGAGTCTCATTTCTGATGGTGCCACGTAACTCTCATGTTTGCTTTATGGTCTACATGTGGGTCTTACATAGAAGATTCTTCCTGTCAAACCTGATTGTCACTGTTCATGGTTTTGCCCTGAGTAACACATGCATTTAGATATTCATTTCATGTGTAATCTCAGTTATGATATTTATAATGACATATATAGTGTGTGATAATGATTTTTGTTTACATTCTGCCAAAATGTAGACGTTAGAGTTAGACCTCCAGGTCCCAAATCATCCTTGAGCAGGCTGCTTACTTCCTCAGAGGCAGGCATCAGAAAGAGGAAAAAACTGTCCAGAAAGACCATTTATATCAGTAATCTGCCAAGACAGGGCTGTTGATCACAAGCGGAGCATGTCGTTGCTAGTGATGTATTTTTATGCTATGGAACTCTAACCTGTATGTGTCATATTGACTTCTTGCTGCATGAATCATAAATTATAAAAATCAGTCTTATGGTTTTGAGATGTAGCCAGCATTCCTAAGGCTAAACCTTTTTCATTGACAGAATCAAAATCCACAACCAAGGAACGTATTCCTCTCACTGTGAGAGCAATTGAAAGTGTTCAACATTTATCTTTTCACAAAGGAAGAGGCGACAGGACCTCTTAATGTGTCTTGTTATTGTGATCATCTGGAAATGATTGCCAGACATTTCCTTTTGATAGAGCAATGAAGTGATCCGTATTTAAATTTTATAGAGAGAATTTTATTCTAGTGTGATAGAGATTTATTTTCCACTTAAAGACTCAAAACGGTGTGAGCACATTTTTTTACTGCGGTATATTTTTGCTTTAAAATTAAAAACAAAAAAAAAGGTTTGGCCTTATCACAAAGTTTTAGTGTGTCGTATAGATGTTAGCAAATGCAAAGAGTATGCATTATTTGTGTGTATCCACATTGACTGATGTCGCCTTCAAAAAGCAATATTGTGCAGGTAATAAGTTGTTTGTGACTGTCCATTGCACAGTTTACCTTCTTTAAAAGCTAACCTTGTTTATGCACAAGACAATCAAATGTAAATCTACATCAGCACCCGGGTGTAGATTAAATTTATGTAAATTACTGAGCACAATGTAAAACATTAAAAGACACTTTATTTAATTACACATTTAATGTTGGTAAAGATAGTATCAGGGCATGAACTAGCTGACATACTGTAATTTCTTTTTCTCTTTTCCTACTTCCTTAGCCCTCTTCAGTTTTAGTTTGCTCATAAATACATCAAATTAGTCATTCGTAATTTTTTTTAAAAGAAGGGTGGTTTGGGTTGTTTATTTGTTTTTATGAAGTTGGTTGGGAGGACTTCTTACTTTGTCTATGAGGTTTGTGGGTTTTGCTTATTTGGTTTATTTTTTTATATCAGTTTCGTGCCCTGAGGGTAAGGCAAACATTACACCGTAAGGTAAAAAACAAAGTACCTTGGATGATGTATTTTTTTGCAAACAGTGTTAAGAGTTATGCTAGATTGGTAATATTTTTTCAGCCTAAAATATATTAAAAAAAATCTGTGATCGCAAATGTTTTAAACTATCTAA